TTTCACTTTATTCCCCAAACCATATCCTCGCCTAACAAGGATGGTCAAGAGCCTCCAAACACAAACCCAGGTCACTGGAGTACAAGCTCAGTAACGGGCGGAACAGTTGATTCAGGAATGAAGCACCTAAATTTAAAGGGTTTTTATTGACAGCACTTGTAAGATGACCAAATCTCCTTGCTGAACGTTGGTATCTAATTCCTTGGAAAAACTTAAGATTTTACCACACACAGGTGAAAACTCAGATGTTTTGAACTGAATCCTGCTTCTGAAGACGACTTCTTTTCTTCCAGGAATCACAGTAACTCCACTGATGGTGGTTTACACGCCTAGAACGGAAACGAGATCTTTTCCGTTCTCCAGTGGCAGACCAAGTGGCAATTGTCAAGGTGAGGTTTCTTTTAAACCCCACGGTTCATACTTGATGTGCTGACCCTCACTGGGGTCGTTTCTGACAAGGGGCTGAGGGAATAGGAAGCATGTATTTCAGCTAATCCAACAGGAGCCCAAAGCTCAGACAACTTTCAAAAGAATACTTAGGTTCTCAAAAAGTTCACGATTTGGCCCTGGCTGGTGTGGTTCAGTGGTTAGAGTATCAGCATGCACCAAAAGGCCACAGGTTCAATTCCCCATCAAGGGCCATATACCTGGGTTCCAGGTTTGGTACCTGGTTGGGGCTCATACGGGAGGCACCCAATCCATATATGTCTCTCACATCAATGCCCCCCCCCTTCTTCCTCCCTTCCACTCTCTAAAAATCGATGGAAAAAAATCCTCCTGTGAGGAGTTTTAAAAAAACAAACAGTTCACAAAGTCAGACCCTTTCTTGATGACCCATCTACATAATACAACTTAACTTTTACAGGGTGGGAGCAGCTATTACATACCTGGACTCAGGTGGAATTAAGATTTTTGGGTCACTGAATGGATGTAGGGGAGGCTGGAGGCCGAATGAACCAAACAATATTGAAAAGTAATTAAGCAGCAGTTTCTGGGTAGACTATCCACATTGGAGATGGATCACGAGAATTCTCGTGGTTTCTGTTCTATTGTCATTGAGAAACAGTGTAACGGAAAACTCATTCACTGGAGTTAAAAATTACAAAAGAATTAAAAGTGATTAGTCTCTTGTCCTTAATAATAAAAACTTTTATATTAATTTGATATTTTTATAAAATTATGCATATCTTTGCTAACAATTTATCAGATATTCCAAGTGAAAGTGATGAAAGCTTTGACAATGGCAGTGATAAAGTTATTCCCTCAAAAAGGCGAAAAATAGTAATTTCAAATGATTCCAAACATGAAAATTTGAACAATTCCACACGATTTTGAGTGTAATTTGTGTCTTGGTTGCCAAGATGATTGGTCAAAAGAGGACTTTCAACCTAATTTGGAAAAATTTGAAGGTAATTCTGGGGTTACAGTTATACCATCTAATTCTAAGAACATCATTGAAATCCCCAACTTGGTTTTTGACGATCTGTTTGAACTATTTTGTCATCAATCAAACATATATTATAACCAAAATTTGGGAAAGCACAAAATTTCGAAAGCAACAAAGTGGTCTCCTGTTACTCCAACAGATATGAAAAAAATTTTAGGATTGATAGTGCTAATGGGGCGTACTCAAAAGGATACTTGGAAAGAATATTGGTCTATAAATCCAGTTCTAGCCGTTCCAGTATTTCCTCAGACAGTAAGTCGAAATCGTTTTGAACAAAACTGGACTTATTGGCATTTCAATGATAATGCAAACATGACTAAACCTTCATCCAGGCTATTTAAAATTCAATCTGTACTCAACCACTTTATTAGTAAATTTCAAACAATATATAAACCTATGTGAGAATTATCATTAGATGAAGGCATGATTCCCTGGAGGGGATGTCTTCTATTTTGAACTTAAAACCTAGCTAAAATTATTAAGTATGGTTTACTTGTGAGATCAAGACTGGGTATATTTGCAATATGGAAATTTACACAGGTGAAGGAAAAAAATTGAATGACTATTCTGTCACTACTTCGGCTGTATCTGGAATTGGGGCATCACATATACCAAGATAACTATTACAATAGCATTTCAATTGCAGAAACTTTATTACTACATAAAACAAGAGTTTGTGGAACAATTCGAACAAATAGAGGCTTGCCAAAATGTTTGAAAGATGAAGCATCTACACTTAAAAGAGGTGAAATAGCCTTCTGAAGAAAAGGTGATGTTTTATTGATTTGGAAGCATGAAAGAGAAGTTCGAATTATTTCAACTATCCATGATGCTTCCTCTTGTGAAACAGAAAAGACAAATTGGCATACTAGAGAGGAAATAAGCCAGTTTCCACTGTTCAGTGTAATATTATATGCAAGGTGTTGATCTTGCCGACCAATATCTTTCAACATGTAGTATCCTTAGAAAAAACAATAAAATGGATGAAGAAAGTAGTGCTTTACCTGATTGTGAACTATTCAATTCATTCAGGATTTACCAAGCACTCAATCCAGAAAGCCAAGTAAGATACAAAGACTTTCTTGTAATAACTAATTTCAAAATGCAATGGGTATTTAATTTTAAAGCATGCCTTTAACATTTATGTAAAACGTTTTTTGTACTCGTTCAATAGAAACTTACCTGGCCACTGGGTAAAGCTAGCAGTAAAACTACTGATCCGCAATGGGTTGATATATAAATTACAAAATATTGATTGAAAAGAATTGT